TGTGTCTTCAGAGTAGCTGTTGAGTAAGCCTCTATAGCTGCCTTGCAAGTTAAAGAGAAAAAGGGGGTGTGATGATGTGACAAGACTCTTTTCAAGTACTGTGTTACTATGGGAAGAAACTAGCCTCAACAAACTAGAAACCTCAGCAGCACCAACACCATGGATATGGGTGATTTCCACCTCCCTTGCATTCAACTGACCTTTTCAACCTTAAGACTCACTGGCGATGGCCTTTTAGATGTTTGGTGTACAAATGCATTTGGACTCTAGTCATCCAAACTGTGAGTTTTAGTCATTCTGGAACCCCAAGTGTTTTTCAATACTCTGTACTGCAAATCTTACAAGCATAGGTTGGGTTTTCATTAGGCATCCCAGCTCACAGTTTGCACATCAAAAGTCTAGATAAGGAGTTCACTTTCACAGATATATTAACATCCCATCAGCCATGCACACAAATATATAGTTGTACTGTTTTTTATCCTTTTTTCTGTCTGTAATACAAAATAATATTATGAAGAAAATGGACATACAAATTCTATTCTATACATTATTATGTATCAAAAGCTCTCTTTGTAAATTAAGGTTTCTAGGATAACTACAGAAGTGAATTATAATATGGGGCAGTATCAACAAAATGTAACATTGCAGTTTGTATTTCTTTTAGCCCAAAGTAAAACCATTACTCCCCTATGAGTCATAGGACTCAGTGGAAGATATACAACAGTAGGTCTGATGGAATGCTTAGCCCGCTTTGCATGAACTCACACCATGCCTATTTGTTCTAGGGCACATATGTCCTTTATGTCTAGAAGAGAACAAATAAACCAGTAGAAAAGAAATTTCAAATATTAATTACTGAAAATTCATGAAAAATCTATTGCAAATATATATTTGCCAAGGCTTATCCGCAACACAACTTTATTTTGCATTCAAGGTAGGAAAGCCTTTTTTCCATACTGAGTTCTATAATCTTAGTGGGAATAAGATTTGTGAAATATTTTCTACTCTGCATTTTCTTTCACTATTCCATACAGAAGACTAAAGGATTTAGTGCTCACAAAAGCAAACATGTTGTTTTCTTTCTCTCCAAGTCACAGAAGATAATCCTATAATAGCCTTTTAGCCATGTAATTTTGAACTCACAGAACAAAGAAATCCAGACCCCGGCGTGGTGTCCAGTCCCAGCAGCAGTCTTGTAATAGAGATCATATAATCTTTCACAAATGACTATAAAAAGAAAGCAAAAGTTAGAGTGTGGGCTGTAAATGTTTAGCAAAGAAAAGTGAAGCAAACTTTGTTAGAACGTTTTTATCTACCAAAGCAGATATGATGTGGCAATTTCCTAGTGAAATTATGTAGGCCAAAATGTCATCTTAAGATACATAAACAGAATAAGGTGAAGTCAGGTATGAATGTGAGTGTAAGGAAGTGTGAAAATATTATCTTGTGCCGATCAACCGCACATAATTGAAGCACCGTGCAATCACGCAAGACTGAGCACAAAACACTTGCTATGTCATGCTACTTGTTTTGCTTAATCCACAGAGAGCCATTTGTTCCATCTGTTTATTGATCAATTACTATTCCTAGCAATTAAAGTGAATGTAAACAGAGGTGTAACTAGTAATCACAGGGCCCCATAGCAAAATGTTTAATGCCCCCCCCACCCCCCAAAAATACACTATTGTACCACACCCCAATTACCATGGCAGGTGATGAAGGGGGAGGGGAGTGAGTCAGGGGACCTACAGAAAAAGTGTACTTTGACTTGGGACAAATTCACAATGTCTCTTAAAAGGTTTCCCCCCTAACCAGTTATACTTGCTCTCTTGCCACTCGCCACAAAGCCAGTGACACACTACTTGGAACTTATGAGTATGGGGGACCATGTGATTTCCTCTCCTGAGACATTGCTCAGTAGACATGTGCATTCAGATGAACCTGCAAATCAACAAAATTCAGTTGATTCGGCGGTTCATCCGAAATAACAAATTTATTATATGCCCGAAAATTATATTCGGGCATAGATAAATTCTTCTCCTGAACACGCGGCGGCCATATTGGCCACCAGCATGTTCTGCACATGCTTAAAAGAAATAGGCACCGGAACTCCAATAGCAAATAGATTACATCTATTTATTGACGTAAATCAAAAGCAATATAACACACTTAGTGCGACGTTTTGGGGGCACACAGGAACCCCTTCATCAGGCAAAACAAGTTGTTTTGCCTGATGAAGGGGTTTCTGTGTACGTCAATAAATAGACGTAATCTATTTGCTATTGGAGTGCCGGTGTCTATTTCTTTTCTGCATTACTTTGACGGTGGCCATCCGTCGACTACTGAGCACCCAGGATACTTTGATGGACGTGCAGTCAGGAGTGCAATGGGTACATGGACTGTATTCTGCACATGCTTGCCTCCATCTTAAAGCTCTGCCAGGGAGTTTCCCATGAGTGGGGTGAGATTATTGAGGACTTTCTGGATCCTTTTGTCTGCAGGAAATTTGTGTTAAATGGGCACTTTCATGCTGAAATATCTTTTCAAGAACTCCAGAATCCAGGGCATGAAAGAGAGGGAAAATTATTGGGTAAGTATTCCTTTGGATCCTCGATGCAAGGGGAAAATTGCAGATCTACTTCCACTATCCAAGAGGGAGCACAAACGTTGCCAATTTAAGAAAGTTTAGCAAAAGAACCCAAAGTACCACTGATCCACAGGTCCATAAAAAAAGGAACAGTGCTGGTAGTAGCTGCCTCAGTGATGCTTTTAAGATTTTTTTTAACTACAGCATGCAGCACTCAAAGGCAGCATCTTCACTACATGATTGCTGACTACTAGAGGTCCAGGACTTATGTCCACATGCACATAAGTGAGGATCTCATGGACTATTGGGTATCCAGACTGAACCACTGACCAGAGCTGATGTCTAAGTGGGCCATTATGATGTCTAAGTGGGCCTTCAGCAAAACAAGAGGTTTGAAAGAGGAATCTGCCTGTCCCCTGGCACTGTGGATAAGCTCACTTTCATAAAAATGAACCAGTACAATGATTATAAGCCACTGCTGCTGATGCTGCTGACTATATATTTCATTGGACAAAAACAAAGTGCCACGATTCCAGCTCCTTCCACTTTTCCTGGCCTGCCACCAATACCAAACACTGCCACCTATTCTGGTTGGCCACAATTACCATCTCTTGCCACCTCTCTTGGTCTACCAAAATTACAATGCACCTGCAACCTCTTCCGGCCTCTTCCGGAGCTCCAGCACTGTAAAGGTGCCACAGATAATTACATACATTAAACTATTGTGCCACTAACTCATTTGTTAAAATTTCAGGGTTGTATTCAAATTTTTTAGAAGTAAATAACTTCTAAATTGTTTTGACTTCTACACCTACTGTTTATTTCAGGCTTATTATTGCTAGGAAAAGGTGTTGCAGCCAAAACAAAAAAAGCTTTTTTTAATAAAGTTGCAATAAATCTGATTGGGGTGCTGCTGCTGTATGCTTCGCTTATCCCTACTTCTTGGTTATGAAATGCTACTCGCATTTTCATTACCTAATCTGTAGTCACACCAAAATTAGGAAGCCAGAAAAACAGGGCGGGAGAGAGGGAGGGTACACTAGTATTAAAATTTTAATCATGCGAACTCTTAACCCAATGAAGAAGGACTGACTGCTCCCATTTCAGCTGCATAATAAAATAATCAAAAGAAAAAAAGGGGAAATCCATCTGTCAGTAAGACAATTTATGTGTTCTTGAAAGTCATGGGTGAAGGCAGAAAAGAAGTAGAGATGGGAACACAGCAGGAATTCATATACCATACCTTCCCATCTAACAGAAGCCTGCAACATCAGCTTTCTGTGCTCTGCTGAACACTTGTAAATGTGAGTAAAAGCCTACTATTTGTCACTCTGATGAAAAATGTTTTGTTTGCAGCCTTTGACTCAGCAATAGAGTGTCTAGGGTATTATAGACTTTAAATCATCAAGAAGATACATATGCATGGAATGTGCTATTTTTTCCACATTTAAAGCAGATACAACTCTAACTGGATGATATTTAGTTTGTGAAAGCACTCTGAACAGAAAATAACTGGTATGTTTTCTAAAATAATGTTTGCACCAT